TATGCATTCTCTTTTTTATTGAATTCATTTCACAAAAAATTGGGATAATCATTTTTCATTGTCGTAAGGCTTGTAAAGACATATGTTCTAAAAATTTCTGTATTTCTTACGATTTTGCTATCTGCACAGATTGCAACACAGAATTGATACCAAAAAAAAGTACGATATAAACAAATTTGGTTATTCCGCATAATATTCATTTCCTCTCTTTAATCATGAAACAAAAAAATTACGATACGTCTGACTGTTTTTACTAAAACAAGTTTTTACGCAAATACACATTCAATGATAGGATATTGTTACAGACACAACGAAGATACGATAATAAAATTAAAATACAACGCTTATGTTTTTATTAAAGAACCCGAAGACTTGATCAAAATTCCACGCTGTAAATGCTAGAATATTTAAATTCATTCGTGCATACTAGACACGATATTCGAATTGACAATGAATGTGTCGAAATTCATTTTAAAGTCAAAGAATTTGCTCAACCAGTTTCAATATCCTCAACCTTGTTCTCAACCTTGTCTACATTAATGATTATTACATTAAAACTTTATATGGTATTGTTCTTAAGCTTCACTAATTCTAAGATAAATGCAACGATATAAATCTTTTTCTAAAACTGCTATAAAACTTGTATTAGGGTTGTTCTGCACTCATTGCGGTTCTGAGTTTTCCTGATCGTTATTTCCGCCAACTGGGAAATGTTATTACAACAAAATATTACGATAACAAAGCCCCTACCTAATATTCACGGCGAATCAGCGTACGGCTCCTCTTAACTTCGACAACCTCATCGTTCATCGGCAGCGTCAGTACAGCTATGAGCTAGCCGTGGGGCTCAGTCAGTTGTCAGTTCGTGGCCGGCTTTCTGTGGAAATTGTTCTGCTTCACAAATCAGCGAGGCTTACCATCTGCTCATGGTGTCCTGTTAGTATCCTGTGTCCCGTTATACACGTCTCAAACCATCCATAGTACTCGCGTTTACCGGTTTCGCGAATCCCACGCATTAAACATAATTTGATATAGTTAAATACTTCAGCGAATACGGCGACTTATTCAAGGTGAGTAGAGACACAAAAGATAAGTAATCGAATCAAACAGAAATTCTAGTCTGATTAGAAAATATTGCGTTACACTACTACAAATAGAATTTCCAGATCGTAATTTTTAAAAGTAATGGGAAGAATTGATGTAAGATCGCTTAGCTCTAAAATAAGAAGCGTAAACTTGGTATATAAATATATATAAAATTGATGATGAGAAATCTGACACTATATATTTTTGTACGATACTAGTAGTTGTGTTTCATATACATGAATCGTAAAATTTGGGATATCCATGAACTTTACACGTGACGAGAACCTGTTTTGGTTCCTCGCACGGTGTATGTATGCACGGCGTGTAGAGACGTGATGGGGAGGATTTCCGTTCATTTACGATACTCCACGTGCTGTATAATTATTTCTGTCTGGTCTAATATGTAATCCGTCAGTACTAGTTCATAACTGTGAGAAAATTGAGCACAAAAATTGCGCGAGATTAGAAATCATTGTTTTTAATATTAAACGAATAAACGTTGTATTGTAATCTAGTATCCAGCGACTGTATTAATTGTGAGACACGTACATAGTGCCTATAATTATATGCATGGTGCATACTGATTAGTATTCGTCTTGATTGCTCTGTACTCACAAATGAGGCCGTGACTAAACTAGTAATAATTCCTCCCATTAAACCGAAAGAAGTAGGAGACAGAAGCCTTTACATCGAATTAAATCAGTAGTTTTGCAATTATTCGTATCTAAGTATCTCAAGGAATGTACCATTCTTTTACATGATAATCTAAATCTGACGATGAGGTAGCTTTTTAAGCGTTCGTAATGTAAACGGAGTAGAAATGATTAGTTACATACTACGTGTCTTTCACAGCATGATATTAGTAGCAACACTCTTCGTACTTCTCAGTAAGGAATATGAATTTAAAGGCCAAGAAAAATCATAGTCATTACCACGCTGCGGAAAAAACAACAGTGTAGATAAACTCTGAAATCTAGTTCTCTTTTTATGAACATGTCTACACTTTCGATACGTGTGAAAAATGAAAACTACCTGTTGTGTATAAATACTATGTAAAACTATGATTTTATATACGATTGAACATTCAAGCGATCAGACGGAGGTCAATAAACGTTTTTCGGCTCACAGTCGGCTTCTTATACCAAGTTATAATGAATTTTCATTAGACGAACTCTTGTTTTAGACTATACTATTATTATATGCAACAAAAAATTTTATATGAAAATCGCCTTATCAGAACATATAAAGGAAATTTGTTCATAAAAAATTGTCGATTAGCAGTTGAACCTAACCTAGAATAACCACCAGGGTGGAGGGGTTGAACGTTAAGTGCAACTACAGGGGAGAGAATGTCCGTAAAAACTGAGACTGTGTTCGATATTATTTCCAGACGAAATGTCGTACACGGTCAATCAGCTGTTCCACACGTCGATGTTCGTAACGTACCTGTTTACGTTATATTCAGCATTTAATCTCAATATTCCTATGCTTGAAAATGTATTCAAGAAGTTCGATCCGGGGCAACTGAAGTACCTGACGATATGGAATGTGGTAAGTCACAATCAAAATTCATGACACATTTCGCTCAAAGATTTTCATTTGTATAATAACGTAATAAAAACCTCACGCATTTTCGTATGCATATCGATGGAATACATTTTTACATTTAATGTTATCTAAAATAATACAACTGATTTCGAAGCATGAATAATAATTATCGATCTTCCGGTAAAAGGAGGGATGTTCCAGATATTTTGAAAGCAGGATAGATTGCTTTGCCTATTGTTCTCTGGTTACATAAATATTCATACATATTTCTATCAGCGAGGACAAAGTTCGAAAACTAACTTTGGATCGCAAAGCTTTTTAATATTAACCGCCTACGGCTTATATAAGTGCTTAAGTAAATTCAAATCGTTGCATGCGCACGTAATGCGAGAGTTCTGTCAACGCGGGCACTTTGTTATCGTTACTTGATAACTTTAATTAATAACGTGGAGATAGATGGCGAAATATAAATTTTAATTCAAACATGGCAACGTAACGCGATGAAAGAGGTGCCTGTACTGTAGTATTTATGCAGAGATTTGTGTGTTCACCTATACCGCCTGTATAACGTGACACGCTTCCTTATTGAAATAACAGTCCTCATTGTTTCGCAAACAATGTTAGCTTAACTGAAACAAGGTTGCGACGTTGAATGAACCATTTAATGAATGAAAGACATCAACATTGGAACTATTGCATGAACACAAATGATAGTAAATCTGATTTTGGAAGTGGGATATCTTGTAAAGGAGCAAAGTTATCGATGTGCAGTGTGAAATTTATAGAACTAGGTTTATGCAATAAATGAAGATTAAATCTGTATATATTCATTTGACACGCGACATTGGACTTTTTTTTATTGATTTTTTAATAGTCATTCACGTAGTTTGTGCCTGTGAATCAGATGTAGTAGGAAGCGAAAAGTTACGTAAAAAATTGCGGCAATAATTTTTGCCTAGCCACCGCCCTTTCATCTATTAGCGCGTGAACGCGCAAACACTTAAGCACGCTGATGTTAGACTTTCGATCTTCAATTAGAAAGCGTATGCTAAATTACGCCGAGTCTTTTCTACGATCATCCTTCGCGATGACACAAAGCTATTTTATTACTAAACTTTCTTACGACCTTGAAGTCCGTATTCACTTTCGATTATTTTTCAAGATGATTCAAGTGGAATGACTTTTTTTAGACATGAATTAAAATGGAAAAAGAGACGGTTTATTTTAAAAGGCAAAGAAGAGCTTGTGCGCATCTCGTTCGCGCAAAAGAAGAGCCTCAACTACATTTTTCGTCTCTCTTTTCCGATCAGTTCCTCTCCGCTCTTCTCTTTTTCTTCTGTCCTCTTTTCATGCCAGGCTATCTATCTGTGTGTGTTTGTGTATAAACTTATTTGCCTCTCGATATCTCACGAATGAGACGGAGAAAAACGATGAAAAGTGACGATCAGAATGTGTCTGACTGTGAGATTTCATATATTGTCTACGTTGGTAACAGACACAATTAACTCTGTTAGCAACACTCCACGCAGTTGCGCGTACTACCAACACCAATTTTTCATTCGCCTTGCATTCGAACGCGTTCTCTTCCTCTTTCTCTCTCTTTCCACTCTTATCTTTCCATTGGACCATTCGCATAGCCATCCTCGTTCATTCCTCGTGTGTTGGTGCAGATCTTGACTTGCATCGTCCTACTCTGTCCAAGCTCGTGTGCTTCACGCACATGGCGATCTGTTTCTCTCTTTCTAGCAGTATATTTTCGCCTATACGTCAGTAAGTCGCAGACCGTCGACGCGGTCGATACTATTGGTGCTGTGTGTACATGTGACCGAAAAAGCCGGAGAGTGTTTCCCCGTGGAAAAAAACACGTCTTTTTCGTGACACCACGAGATGTACCGTGCCCAGTAGCCCAGGGAGTCCGATAAAAATAAAGCATTTCCGTGTAACGTCCGCGACGTTAATAGGTACGATCAAACTAACTCAAGTCACCGCTCTGCAAACGGGAAATGAACCGAGTCGCTGCTAACAATAAGATTGTGAACTCTAGTGTGATATACTTATAAAGTACAAATAATGTGTAAATACATGTATGCATAACCGATTATCATTCATTTGCTATGTAATGAAATTATACTGGATTCTTCGTTTTTCTTCCATTCGTTGCTAATATGCAATTCTAATTAGCTCGGAGATTTTCAATCAAGAGAATGATTTTGCGAATGTAGTTGATTCGTATCAGTACAAAATGATTGGCATATTTAATTTTTTAGAATAATCTTATCAGTGAATAGTATATGTGAACACTATGATAATCCCGTGTTTTATTACAAATATCCTTATCGTTGCTAAAAATGATCGATAAAATGATTAGCAGTAAAGGCAGATGAAATTAAAAATCGAGTTCTCTAGACTTGGAATATTGAACTCTGTGTATATGATGACGAATTGTAAAATGCATATTCAATGTTTATAAATAATATTATTTACGGATAACAGATACCTTTAGCGATAAATAAATTAACTTCTGAACCGTCAATTTTTATTAAACATTAGGCGCGTATGGTGCACAAAATATGCTTGTATATGTACACTTGTTTTTGCAAGTGCATCGTTTATCTTTTATTAACATATTTATTTCTTAATATGTACATAACAGTTATGATAATAAATCGATTTAATTATTCTTCATGGCCAAAACATTTAAACTCTTCCTTTTTAAAATTCAATCGTCTATGTTCTTGTCAATGATCGTTTTTTGATGCGGATGTAAATGTCCATGTTTATTCTATGTGTACATGAATAAAGTTTCTACCACAAAGTAAATAATTCAACGCAGTATTGCGTACTCTTGTCATACAACTCTGTTACGTGCTATTTACGTAATTCAAGAGTAAACATTGTTATGCAATTTGTTAATACAACCATTGCTACGAATTTTCTATTCTACTACTTCTTCAAATTCTGTATAATAAAAATTGTATGTATATATGTTTGAAAAAAAGAGAAAAGGACTTAGAATGCTGATGTAAATCTTTTATAACACATTCATTCGTTGTAAATAGCACCGTGTATAGTTACTGTGGGATAGATAAAATTATCTGTAACCATTGTTAAAACATTCTAAGTTTACATCCTATCTACTTTATATTCATAAAAATGATTGTTATTGTTAAAATGGAGAATCCAGAATTTCATTGTTTTTAGAATAAAACGAAACAATCTTCTAATCTAATCGATTCGACAGTCCGATAAGCATAAATCGTTAACTAGTCATCACCTAATCTTTCGAACGCGAGCATCATTGTGACGAACCGTTTCAGAGTACCTACATACAGAAAAGTGCGCCCGAGACACCTGTGAGATGCGGGACGGCCTACTGTTTGGATTCCACGTGATCTCTTGCGTGCAATTCGCATTTTCCGTATATTACGATTATATGTACACCATCGTACCACCGAACATTCTCAAAACACACAACACCTTCGGTGGGAAATTCAAATTCCTCACTTTTTGGGATGCGGTTAGTATCATGGCCCAGTGACCCAATCTCACTTTTCTTTTACATTCAGTTAGAACCAGGTCACTTTCCTTGCTGGTCTTATGTAATGCCCTGCAGTTCCGTACAACTTCGAACTCTAATGCAATAAGTTATGCACAAGTATTGCACAAGTACTCACTATTGCTCGATAGGCTTCAATATCTTTTAACAACGAACGCTGAACTTTGGATATGCAACTTGTGTGCTATTTGATAATGCTTAATCTTCATTGATACTCAACTAGCTTATAACTGCAATATTCTTACAAGCGAGTGTGCATAAAATATGGCATTCGGTTGACCGACTATAATTATAAGAAAATTGCATTATGGTATATACCATGGCTTTCTCTCTTCATGGCATCACTCTTGTTTTCGTGAACGGATCGTACGATATTCTTAACGATTACATCATATCGGTATTACGCTATTATGCAAAAGTGAAAACTGTTGTAAAAACATATATATACCGTGTTTCACATGCATCTGTAAAAGTGGATCCACTTGCAATCGCAAAAAAAAGAATTGTTTGTATTGTAATAAACGCGCATGAAAGTAGAAAAAAAATATTCTATGTCTTTTGCTGCCACTAACAAGAACAGTCATGATTATCTCATATGCCACATATCTATGAATATAAAGTATAAAATCAATTATTCAAGCACCACTCCACACCATCTGGCTATGGCACGTATCGTGTCGAGCTATTCGCGGTGAAGTGCTATTGCACTATTACAGTTTGAAGTATTCTCAAGAGAGAAAAATTATTCATTCCACTTAATCACTAATACTCATTTATAAAATCGCTATCCATTATTGCATGCGTTACAGTGTTATTACATTCTTGAAGCTTCTTGCTTAATTAATTTAATTTCGAACATGAGAGAGGCAATATGTTCGTGACAAGGGTGATCTAGAGTATTCGTTTGTCGTGCGTGTTGACGCGTATAATTGGGCTACGAATCTGCTGTAGACGTAGTTGAATAAATAGGGCACGTATTTTATATGTATAGTAAAGGGAGATAAATTAATCATAACATCTTAATTACATGAACAATTTGTTCCATAGCTTTGCAATTTTTAATTCAAATTGCACAGTCATAAGTCATGTTACGTATTATTTCATTATAATTTTATTCGAACTGAGATGGTCATCTACCTGTTTCAGATCATTCAAGCGGTATTTTTCTTCGTATGTATACTGAATGATTGGTTTGGCACAAATGCCGTCAGTCCCAAGAAACCGCCGCTCATACGTAAGATAAAGGACAACATGCACGCGATTCTCAGTTTCCCAATTGCTATGGTAAGCATAAGTAGAAGGCAATTTCCAACTTTTTATACTTTATCTCATTCTTGATATCACAGTTCGTAGGGGTAACATTTTGGTGTTTGATGTTCGTGGATCGCGAATTGGTACTTCCGAAAGCTATAGATCCGTATTTCCCATGGTGGCTGAATCATTTAATGCACACGATGATCATGGTTTCCATCCTAATCGAAACAGTTTTAGCGCCGAGGAAATATCCGAAAAGATCACACGGACTAATGAGTACACTAGGGTTCATGTTAATATACTTGATCTGGTACGTTGGCAACTTGAAATTATCGTTTCATACGTGCTGCCGTTTTTCTTTTATATTATTTACTATTGTGTCGTTCCAGGCTGCACGTAATCTATTACAAGAGTGGCGTTTGGGTGTATCCAGTGATGGCGGTGTTGTCCTTGCCGCTGCGACTTTTGTTCTTTGCGGTGTTGATGTTCTTGACGTTAATTCTGTATTGCGTCGGCGAAGCGACGGACAACTTCGTTTGGGGTAACGAATATATTAAACAGCAAAAGTCTTATGCCAAGAGCAAGTAGCCTCGCCCACGGTGATTAGAGCTGCGCTGACTTCGATCATTAGCACTCTCTCCCTAAGGTGATGGTGAATAAAAGAAGCGAAACGCTAGCCTTTTCCACATCATTCATCTCCATTTACTTTACATCGCAGCATGCACGCGTATCACGCCTTTGAATAAATCGTTATTTGGAAAAATCTCTTGCGACAAGAAGAAACATGCATAACAATAATAATAATACATGCATGCAAAGAGGAGCGTGCTCTTTTTCTCTGAGACGGAACGCTCAAGGAGAAATATAGTCATTAATAACTTATTCGCTGAAAAGGGTTGCGTAGCTGGAGCATGTGGTCACGACTTATTTTCTACCGTGTGGCTTGTACTACATATGCGATGGTAAACGCAAAAATGAGGGAAGACTAATTGTAACTCGATCGATTTGCACATACACACTATCGGTGCCTAATAATAATTAAACTAAAAGCTGAAAAAGAGAGTAAGGAGCGAACAAAAAAGAAACATGAACAGCATACATGCGTATTTACACACGATTCAATAGCAATTACATTTTTGTGGAACACGCTCAGCAAACATCGTCATCTGCGACAAAGAGAATTCGATCGAAATTATTAGAGAGAATGAACAAACTAACAACAATGTACAGAAAAAAGATGAACGACCTGTGGTTACGCGTGTGGAATGAATTTTGCATTGTTCTGCGTTTTTGGGGTGCGTCATGCAATCGGAAACATGCCCCATCGAAATACTAAAATCCGGATATGTATTTGTATGGAGTATAGGAAAAAAATACGTAACCGAGAGTAATGGAGTGGATATGAAAACGTAGCTAGCAAGAGGAGTGAGCGTGGTTTCGCGGAACCGATCAAAGGGATATCAGCGAGGGCTCTCGTGCTAAGAAGATAAATTATATAGACTTTTTAGTGAGACATACAGTTTTACATGCATGCCAGAAAAATCAAACTTACAGACTCATCGAGTTCGACCCTTCCTTCACATAGGTAGCGTACGGAAAGTATAAAATACTTAAAATTAGTCAACCAGGAGAACAGGGTTTGTCAAGGACTTTTGTTATAGATTAGAGTTGAATAAATAAATATTTCTTTTAAAAGACGTTTGCGCATTTTAAAAATGCAGTAGACGCTGCCAGTGACGTAGGATAAATTTTAAATACGTTTTGTACAGCATTGTACTTTGTAATTTCTGAAGATAATTTTGGTTGGAGCGGAGTTTCTAGTAGACTGTACACAGGTATTATCCATTATCGATAACGGGTTGACCTATTCTATAATTACGTGTTGGTAAACCCTGTATAAAATTTTTACAAAAATAGTTCTAATGCGGTACACCATCGTATTGTAAAAAATGTAGACAGTAATATTTTTTATTACAATAATTTATATAAAATAGAAGACGAAATAATCGAGAAAAAAATGATTAACATTTCTTTGCGTAAAATAGCAAACGTTATTTCCTTCTGCTCTTTCAAAAGATAGTGTAGTAGGAAAATGAATAATGTAAATTCATAATACACAATGCATACGTAAAAAATACTTGTATGTAGTCTAAGTACAATAGGATATTAAAATACTGTAACATACAGGACAATGTTAATTTTCGAAATTATTCTGTATAAAAGCAAATGAATTATATTTATAATCCATTTGTATCTTTAGCATCGTAAAAGTCCATCGAATTATTTTTTACTACGTTCCAATTTTGTCAATAATAAAAGATATAAAATTATATGTTAAGTTTGAGTTAATTCAAGGTACTATTTACAGTCGAAGAGACACTATTGCACTATGACAAATGCATTATCACAATAGATAATTTGCGCACTGAGGCGTCTTTCTCTTAAGGAACATCCACATTTCACGAAGTAGAAAAAAACTTACGACTAAAAATGTAACACGATTTCTTCTTCCTTACGTAGCTATATTTTTATTTTTATTTAGCTGCGGCGAGATCTGTGTTCCCTTCGAACTGCAGTGTCTACTATTAATAATCTCGTCTATGCTCTGCTTCAATTCTTCCATTTCTAAAATATCTAACGGCAATGATGTCTGAGTTGCCATTTCTCGGGCATTCCCGGTCTGAATTTCGGATTGCATAAGCCTAGTCAACTCTGGACAACACGAGGTCAGACTGGATGCCAGATTTCCCATTCCAGCTTTCCTGTAGACGTCCTTTAAATCTGCGTCGCCTTTCAATTTGATATCGCTGGATTCTTGAAACAGATGTTTCAGGATGGTCTCATCTTGAAGAAGATACTTACTTCTACGACCTTCTCGGCTTCTTCGGTCACTTTCATGACCGTAACTCTTAGTACTCTTGTTACTAGTTTTACTCTTGCTACGTTCTTGAGGTTCTTCAGGATCCAACATCTTCGCTTCTTCCTCCGGTTGGCTATCATCACTATCGGTGTCCTGATCATCCTTTTCCATGGTTCCAGCTTCGATATCCATGTTCTTCCCTACTATTTCTTGATGCTGTTTCTCCTCGCTGCTCAAGTTCACGTCGCTAGCACTTCGTCCCGGTAAAAGAAACGGCAGCAACATCCCTGCATTGTTCTTTCCATCGAACAGCTTAGGATTCAAGGTGTGTTCATCCAGACCGGCGCTAGCTGATCGTCTTTTCATATTCGGCACTTGATTCGGAGATACTCTCGAATTACCACCGCCTATGGTCAATGCCGACAATATCTGTGCACCAAGCTGACTTTCTTGCGACGTCGTGCTGCCTCTTCTGTATAAAGGACCCACTTTGCCAGATCTAGATTTTCCAAAATCCCGTCGGCGTTTCCCACGTCGACCGCGCGAACTGCTCGCAACTTTTCGCGTTGTTTTCAGCTCAGCTATTTGAACTGATATCTGAGAGTCTAAAGAGTTCCTTCTAGACTCAACTGATACTCGACGCACGCTGAAACTGATCTCGGAATCCACGGAATTTCTTCTGTTACTGGAGACAGAGCCTGTTGTACCGCCGACGAGCGCGCCTCTGCGAGTAACCAGTTTGGGTAAAGCGGCTGCCCATGTCGAACTGAAGTCTTGAGAGGCCACGGAATTGAGATCGAAGTTTAATCCGACTGGATCCTCGTGGGTATTGTGGAAACTGATCGACAACCGACCAGCGTTGTTGAATGTCTTACGCTTCGCAAATGCCTGAGCGATTACCTTGTGCTTTTTCAATCTGATAGGTTCTTCAGTTTCGCAGTTGAAAGTACTAAAACGGATAATAAAAATGAAAATATAGATTGAATTTTATTTCAAATAAATCTGAAGCTTACCGTCTAAGGAATCTGGTCCACGTGTCCACGGTGGAGCCGGTCCAAACCCATGAAGACATAAGAATACCGGCGAAGAAAGGAGAAAATAAATGCAACTGCATTTTAGCTGCACTCGGTCGTACTTCCATTTTGCATTCAGATATGTCCATGTACTTCGTCGTTATCGCGCATCTATAAATAAAAAGAAATTTTATGTGGAATATTCAATATTTTTTCTTACCCGTCAATATTATCCTTACATCATATAATTCCTGAAACTCTGACGCCATTCCCAAGAGTGTTGGAACTCGTAAATATGGCAATAGAACGTCATTATGACTGCAGCGAAGGTGAAAATCGAAAAGAGACCCATGCGTACGATGGTTTCTCGTATTTTGGCACTTGCCCTTTCGGATATAATCTCTTGGCTACTTATTTTCAATCGGATCAGCGTAATTAATCCTACAATATATACTAATTTAAAACTGAGTTAAAATTTAAATGTTCGATGTTTATTTTTATCAGCAACAATTACTTACACACTATGTTCTTTAGGTAAGCATATAACAAAATATATTTTATTATTGTAATATATGAGATCGAAAATTCATTTGAATACAAAGTTTGAACTGTACCTCTCGATAAAAAGTATCCTCCAACTATCAGGACGATCAACACGGGACCGAGTAAGAACCAAGCTCTGACTGCATGATTGGTGTAACCCACAAAACAAATACCGGTAACGCTATTCCCGTCGATTTCGCCTAATGCCATAATAGTGACAGTGAGGACCAATGGTAAACACCAAGCGATTAAATGGAAATATGCACCCTTCTTGTCGATTCTGTCTTGGATCTTGCCTAATGCTTGAAAACTCATATGCCAAGCATATGTAAGAATGACGAACCACACCATAGCTGCCATAAGGGAATAGTATACAAGGATAAACACAACGACGCAGGACAAGTTCTCTCCGCTGAAAACACAATGATACGTAACAATTTCTGAATAACACACTACTCATTGCAAATTAATTGATTATAAATTACCTTGGTTCGCTCATTCTCAAAGTTCCATCTTTTCTGCAAACGATTACATCTCTGCTTCCTGGTGTAAACTGAGCGAGCCACCCAATACAGGATACCATGAAACAACAATTGATGTAAAATATGACTAAAGCTGGATACTTATTTGCGCTTCTCCAGTCAATTAAAAATGTTATCTGAAATAATATGTGGATCAAATATAATATTACTCATTCCTCGTTTTTTTATTCGTACAAATTAATACTTACAACTGTAAATAAATTGAATGAACCACAGATACCTGCAGCCCAAGCAATGAAGGAATGAATTTGTTTATGCTCATCCGGTGTGAAAAGTGGATCGTTGCATTGTGTACCGCAACCTTCGACTCCCTCAAAAATGGCAAGAGTGTTGTCGGTTGGGACTAATGGTTTTAGACATTTCCCAGATATATTAAACTTCAATTCTCTAATATCATTTTTGCATAATCTGGGAAACAAGTCTGCATTTTCACATTTAATAAAGCTCGGCCATATCGTGTGATTGAACACAATTCTACAGGGCCCGGAAACCATTTTACACATTTCCTGCGATGGTAAGTCTACTGTATCATTGATACATTTTGGCATGAATATTGAACAGAGAAGAGGCTGAACAACTGCCCAACACTTTGGCATATGTCTTAACGCTTGTAATAAATTTAACTTTTCCTGGAAAAAAGGGATATTCCATAAATAATATTGCAACAAGAAAATATTTCATTGAAAGTATTTTACTTCAAGTAAAATTGAAGACAATAGAATGCTTCAATAAAGAAAAGAAAAATAATAAATACAAGGTTGGGAATTATCTAGAGGCAATAGGACAGGAAGTACCTGAAATTTTTTTAAATGGGATCTTTTTGACCTGAAACCCAGGTATAAGGGTAAGGGATACAAAAAAAGAGAAAGTGACTTTAAGCTTACATAGATTTCTCTCCATAATTTTAAGAAGTATTTTAATGTATATGCATTGTATGTATAACATACCTCCACAATATCTTGAGTTATATGTTCAGGTATAAGATCTAGAGTGGTGGTACTATATGGCAGTCTTGTGCCCATACAAGTATTCCTCTGCATGTCTACACATTTTGCAGGTCTACGACAGTTTAAAGAATCTGGTGGTAACTCTCTTATGGGATACCTGTCCAGCAGGTAACTGGAGTCCTTGATCCTGTGCCTGGGGCTTAATTCCAAATCATGCTTCCAAGTTTCATTCTCACTGTTCGAATTAGCGGCAAAACCATGCGTCAATTCGGACGACACTTGATGGAAGATCAGAAAATAATAAATCAGCTGTAGCATCATCTGAAATTTAATAACATCATTGGAAAGTGAGACAATGTATTACGGCACAGTTGCTCCCGACATCGATGCGCAATTTCCCGGCACTCACTATCGGCATAATTTAAAAAACAAATCGCGTCACGTGTACCGCTCGGCGATAAACAATGAGAGCGCGTTCTGTGAATAAAAATAATACCTTGAGGGCTGTTACTCAGAACTACACGACAATTATTTCCCGAAGAGGCACAGGCTGCCACGGAGAAAGCTCTCCGTTTCGTTCGAACAAAGCGTCTTGCATCTTCTAGGCTCCTCACGACAGCCGCATCCAGCATACGAACGCTCGGACCACACACGCGTTGCGTTCGCCCGCAGGCCACCCACGACGAATCCGATGAACTCGCTCCATACCTCCATACTCCATACCCATGCCTCCTTTCCGGTGTTTGAATGCACGCCGGTTGTGAACCAGCTTCACGAATACTTCGTCGGCGGCTACACCGTCGAAGATGCGTGTTGCAATTCACGCACTGAAAGCGGGAAAATTTCGGCGATGTCCTGTTCGAGAACGAACATTTGCAAAGAAACAATTCCGCAAGCTCCAACGCAATTATGATTATGTCTACATAGTATAAAATATTTTCATTAATAATTTAATAGCATTTTCACGTCATCTCAAGGATATTCTATTCGAATAATACATGTGAACAATAATTTGTAATTACCATCATGCAAAATGATAGTATAAATTTTTTAACAACAATTTCTCGTACATGAATTTGCTATTTCATATCAGAGATTATCATATATATTTATAATAAGATCGTGGTGGTAAGATGACGCATAAGCCGTTTCATTTGCATAATCAATACGAACCAACATTCTTCTTCACATTAAATAGATGAATGACAATGAATAGATGAATAAAGATATAATATCAGAATATGATGATGAAAGAATGATATCTTTTTTCGATAATTTGTCTCTCAACTATTTTTACCAGTGTCGACCTCTGCAAATATTTCACCTGAGCGCTCAGCGCAGGTGTCATAGTGTCATGATCATGCGAATTGTCAAGTGATAGTAGCGTGTAGTGTAAGGTTTCGTGTTGCGGATTACTTATTTCCATGGGCTTTCTGCGCTCAGGGTGTTAATTACCAGTGACATACATTTTATTCCAACAATCGTCGTCGCAACTGCGGTTGACTTAATCGCCTTTCTTCCCTCGGCCTTTACTTATTCCGGTGTAACAGGAAATATGATAATTGCCCGTATAGCTGATTAGCTGCTGGTGTTGATAATAACATGCCGCTAATATATGATAAGTCTGAGCTGTCTACGTCCGTACACAAGTTGGAATTAGTAACAGCGACACGATCTCTCGCGAGTTTGCGATCGGTATTCGATGGTGAAGCAGTGCATAAGGTGACAGATGGTTCGTAAAGTAACCTGAAGCGTTTATTTCTCTTTTAAACGTTTATCTGTTTCATCTTATCTTTCGTTGTTTACGTACGGAGCGTATAAATAATAAGGTACGCAATTTTCTTTGACTAGAACATACAAGGATCCGTTTTGCGATAAGATTTGTTAACTGATAGCTGTTGTAGTTTAAAATGTTTAAAATCCTCTACCTGGGACTGTACTTATTACTGTGTGGAAATTGCATTGGAGATTATCCAGACGGAGATCCGAAATGGCAACTGCCTTGTTCCAGCTTATATCCAAGAGTTTTTACAAGCTATACGCCTCGTGGAAATCTTTCTAGTGGAACATATACCACTCAGCCACAGTTAAATGGGATGTATCACTGTGTGGCTGCGTGCTGCATGAAGCCTACGTGCAATGTGGCACTCATGCACAATGGTACCTGTTACCATGTGCAATGTGAAAGTTCCAAAATATGTTTACCTTTATATAGAAAAGATTTAGCAAATGAAAATCCCCCAAGCATGGTCCTAGTTAAACCTGTAGAAGAGGATGAGATATGGAATGATTTATTGGATCAGATAAACGATGACACTGGGTAAACTTCATGTTTCATATACGTGATATTTTATATCACACTTAAACTAATGAAATCTTTGTTACTTTGGCTGTTTTAGAGGTTTTCTAATGGATGGTACTGAAGGAGATCACAATCTTTTTGGTGGTTTAAATGAAATAAGCTGTTTCACTCAAGCAAATTGTTTAGAACATGAAGTGTGTCTTAAGCCTGGTGACAAACCTGATGTTGGTGTCTGTCAATGTTCTATTGGATATAAACGCAATATTGCTGGTAATTGCATTACTAGATATCTTTACAGAAGGAATTCATTTATTTCTAATATGTATGCATTATAGGACTTTGTACATTGGAAGAAGATCTAGAACTTGGTGTAACACCACAAATGAAAGCACAGAATATAAAAGACACGGGTACATCTGTGAAACCTCCAGTAAAGAGACTATTAGTCTCTGCAGTTTCAAAGGAAGTACGTTTACCGGAAAACGAAGTGACACTGTCCGCCTATACTGTGCCAGCAGAACAGGAAAATGAACATTACAATTATGCCTGGAGCCTTTTGAGCCAACCGGACGGTCATTCTGGCATAATGACTGATCAAAATCGTATGACCGTCAAATTAAGTAATTTGTCTGAAGGTTTATATACGTTCAAAGTTACGGTGAACGGTTCGAACGCGTACGGCGAAGCCTATGCAAACGTCAGTGTTTTACCACGTGAGTTCGCTTCCTATAACTATATGTAAGTACGTCAAGTGAAAATTTACTGATTCAGTAATAATTGTTCCTAGCTAAAAGAATTAATCAACCTCCGATCGCTATTATTTCGCCCGCCTCGCAAGTTGTAAAACTACCGAACACGGGAGCGGTATTAGACGGTTCATCAAGCAAGGATGATGATCGCGTTATATCTTATCATTGGGAATTGCAACGAGGTCCCATTGGATACCATCCTAATCTAGTCGACACACCAACGCTCCAGTTGGATAAGCTTATACCTGGCAATTATACTTTTAAGTCAGTATTGAAATTATACATTCTTATTTTTAGAAATTATCAGCTATTTTTGAATACTTCGTATCTTTATTTTAGGCTGACTGTTGAAGATTCTAATCATATCACCAACTCAACGAGCGCTAACATAACGGTTTTAAAAGTAATCGATTATCCACCTAGCGCAAACGCCGGCCAGGACATCATTATATATTTGCCGCAAAATACGTTAACACTTAACGGGAATTTGAGTACGGACGATCACGGTATAGCAAGTTGGGAATGGACGAAGAGTCCCTCGGATCAGAACAAAGCTGTGGATATGCAAAACACCAGAACACCGTATTTACAGCTATCTAACTTGGAGGAGGGAATGTATACGTTTGTGTTGAAAGTAACAGATAATTCAGAGCAGTCATCTACCGCGGAAGTTCACGTGTTTGTAAAACCACCAACGAATAAACCACCGACAGGTTTGTGACGTTTTAGTTATTCATAAATCGGCAACTATTTTGTGACAAGAATAGAAGCACTATTTCATTTCATATCATTTTGAATAGCCGATGCTGGGGAAAATATAACAATAGCATTACCCGAAACTAAAACCGTGCTCGATGGTCGGAAAAGTAAAGACGATATAAAGATTGTTTCTTACCACTGGGAACAAATGAGGTAAGTTTGAAATTATATATTGCTTTCATGTATTAGTGTATCGTACGTAACGGTTTCTTTTTCAGCGGGCCTAACACTGCCGAATTCTCAGCAGTGAATGAGTCACTTACGAATGTAACAAAATTAACAAAGGGCGATTACGAATTTAAGTTAACCGTAATTGACGATAATGGGAATAAAGATTCGGATACCGTCAACGTGAAAGTTACGCAAAGTAGATACATCATCCTTTATTTTTTGTTTATCGTTATCTTCGTTTATATGATCGTAAAAAAGTAATTTTTAATATGTAGATAAGAATGCACCTCCGAAAGCAAACGCGGGTGGTGATCAAGTCGTCGTAGCACCCATTAGTGCGCTAATTATTAATGGATCTAAATCAACCGATGATCTAAGAATTAGCCAATGGGCATGGTCAAGGGATTCTTCTAGTCTTGCTATAGGCACTATAATTCAAAATTCTGACAAATCGCCGGTTTTAATGGTAAACATTATAAATACTTAATATTACATAAAAGGATACGATCAACTTTCTTCTGTTTATAGTTAACAGATATCGTGCCAGGTAGATATGTTTTTAGACTAAAAGTCGTGGACGATCAAGGTCTTAGTAATGAGGACACGGTATCTGTGATAGTAAAGCCTGGTAAGTGATCAAAGAAATGGTATAGTACGTATTTTATTAGAATACTACAGTTTAAATTTTTTATAGATCCACAATTATTGTATTTGGTTGAACTGACATTGAACATCGGAGGAAATATGTTAACAGTATCGCAAAAAGATTCATTGGTACTAAAATTACAAATGTTGCTGCGAGACGAAGCATCTATCGTCGTTCGAAATTTAAGAGAGGAACCCCATACTGGTCGAGCTGTTTTAATATTTTACGTCGAAAAAAAGGGTGGCAAAGCTCCCATGCGTGGACCAGAAGTGGTGAAACGATTAAAAGAAAAATTAAGACAAGATTCTGGGCTTCTTCAATTGTCTGTAGCAAATATCGATACTGCCGTATGTCAAAACAATTGTTCGGGTAAGTATTTTATCGAACATCCTACATACATGTAAATGATTTCTTGTCACAATTTAACTCGTTTACACACAGGCCACGGAGTATGTGACCAAGAAACAAGATTATGCATGTGCGAAGCTTTTTGGATGCAAAATTTGATACAGAAATATTTTGGCAATGGTGACTCTAATTGCGGTACGTTAAAATACATGGAAATTCAAATTAAAGATAAATTGAAGTAATCTGCAACTGTGTTTCTTTTTAGATTGGAGCATTCTCTATGTGATAATAGCATTATTATCTTTAGTCGTATGTTGGGTTGGTCTTATTTGGGGCCTTATTTGTCTATGCCAAAGAATATGCACGGGTAAAAGACATTCGCTCCGCGCAAAGAAGAAGCCACCACGCTACTCTCTTCTCCAACCGGAACCCGGGGATGAGAGCAGTTCATGTACGATATACATTTTTCGTAATTTGCTAAAGTTTCATAATTTCATAAATTGTACATTTCAATTGTCTTTGCAGTTTCGGCACACAAAATGGTACTATCTGAGTCTGATACAGATTCCGATGATGTCCTGTTCGAGCATCGTAAAACAAAAAATAGCAGCCAAGTGAGAAACGGCAAATCTCGGAATGGATTTATCAAAGTGGGTTCTAGAGTGAAGACATGAGGTAAAAAGAATCGCTTGTTAGCGAATCGTGCATTAAGCACGTGTAGCTGTAACTTAATCGCACGTTTCAGGAGCCCGTAGGAAGATCTCGTTGAACGACGCACATTCGTGTACGTTTGATCAAAGAAGAACGTAAAATACTAGTCAGTTACAGGGCTGTCATTTTAAGTATGTACCTAACAAGAACAACAAATATGATTTGTCGTACAGAAGTTGCCATTTGTAAAGAAATTTAATGAAACTATCATAGATGAGTGTGTACTATTAAGTAGAGGCTAGAGAAACAACACAACAAAGTACGTACGTTTATTTCATCGCATTACGTTTAATTTCATCGGAATAGTACATACATCTATCTGTATTAAGTACTTGTATTCGAAATTTTTATTATGCAACTGTAGACGCACCGCTGTTTATACATGAGCGGTATAATAAGCACAATGATCAAACACAGTTTGATTACGGCCTTAGAAAGTATTGGAATTAGTATTTATATCAAAATAATAATCATTCCTTGTGCGCATTCTTTGTACATGTAATGTTTACTCCGTAATGTGTATAATCATCAATCTTATTTTTACACCGTACATGGATAAATAATAAAATTTATTATCCATATAATGAGTGTAGTAATTTATTTCGCAATCACCTCACTCTGCGTTTTTCACCACGAATTTTTGAGTAACGTGGATAGTATAGTATAAAGCACTATAAAGCGGACACGATTTCGCTTCGCATACGCCCGTTATTTTTAACTTATTATGCTATAGCAATCGCGAAGTAGCGCAGTGAGCTTTCTGTGCCATTCGTCGACGATTCCGTATGCACATCATTTATTTGTAAATTGGTGAGTACATTCTTATTTATTCTCTATTGTAAATAATTTATTTTTAATATTATCGATGCATTAGTTTCACAGCTGAATATTTATGGATTTCATTAAATGTTCGAAATACCAATCCATGAAGAATTGCTGCTGTGAAAAATCGTCGATGGATGATGAGCATCGAAGCAACGAAAACTACACATTCCCTGTACAAGCAAACATAATCGATCGTGTAAATCCTCTTGTTAGTATAGAACCATTACGCCTTGTCAAAAATAGAGAGTAAGTGCTATTTTTAATTTCTGCTAGACCGCTAACCAGATGGTCTCTATACAATATTTTTGTTTACGTGCTTAACAATAATAAATATTTGTCATGGAATAGGCATAAGAAAAATTCTATATGTGAATCTTTCGAAATACCTTACGGCATCCCTAATCATATAAACAATAAGAACACACGAGAGGAGACTGCTGCCTCTTTCAACGCGCAGGGAGATAAAAATTTCCGGTGTCCTAGATGTGGTAAAAGGATGCAGGAACCGCGATTACTCCCTTGCTTACATCCTATATGTTCACCATGTGTCTCAGAATTAATGAGCAGTCGTACGTACCGAAATTTTAATTGCTTATTAATATATCAATTTGATGTTCCCCGTATGTTCGCAGCTTGTAACAATTCTTCAAGAAATACGAAAAGTAATTATTACGAAGTATGTCCTTTGTGCGATTTTCAATTACCGAACGCTAACTCGCCAATTCCGCCTCCACATTATCCTCTTCAGCATCGACTGGTGATGAACGTCGTCAAATCGAAATTCGCAAATAAAGTACTTTGCGATGCTTGTTCAGATGAAGTCGTGGTAAGCATCACGTTCCCTCGAAAGTGTTTTCTGTAGTAACATTTAAAGAACATGTTGCTTTTAACGTTTTTCGAAGGCGGTTGTTCAGTGTTCCACGTGTCTACGCAATTTTTGCTTAGATTGTGGTACGCGACACCAGCAATTAGTCACGATGGAATTGAAGCCGTCGAAACACTCGGTAAAACCACTCTGGGAAGCTACCAAAGTACGGCGCACCGCATTCTGTCAGAGACACCCTACGCACGTATTGCGATTTTATTGCATTGCATGCCAGCAGGTTCATGTCCTTTATAGATTTCTTTTTATCAATTGAAGACGATTCTACTAACGTATAAGTTGTTCTAGGTGACTTGCAAAGAATGCATATGGAGTATTGAACACAGAGGTCATGCAACTGAAAATGCATTTGGAGCTGGGAAACGAGTTACTGCCTATTTAAGAAAAGTATTACAAAGGGCAAGAACCCTTTTAAATATGCTGTTGACGCAATACGATCGAAGTGCATTTTTAAATAGTACGCTAGAAAATAGCAGAGATTCTTCTTCACCTATGGAGTACAGGTAATTATTTTTTATTACTTTAATAAGTAATAACATGTCTAATAAAAAAATTGTCATGTGATGATTATTGCTGCGAAGCATATAAACTGTCATTTGAGGTATAAGTTTTACATTCCTGTAGAATGCAAAAGGCTGTGATAGAAGGTGCTACATACTTTTGTACCGTTATTTGTATACAATAAATGTCGTATTATAGAAGAAATAAAACATGTTTGAAAAATAAAATTTATTCAAAACCACCTGTATTAGAATAGCAACTGATGCACTGATTTCTGAAGAATTAGACAATGTCCATAACGTAAGATTGATCCACAGCAAGACCAGTGATGCACGCCAGGATGCCCAACGTGACCATGTCCACAACCATTGTATCCACCTCGATTTAAATTTGATGAATTATATATCATGAAAAATCATAATAACTTTATTTTAAGAATTTGTATATTACCAGGCATAGTCCCTCCACATCCACAAGTTACATCTTGTCTACCACCGCTTGAACAGAATGTACAGCAGTGGTAAGTGCCAGTATGATATGGTTTGAACATTGATATTCTTGCATCTTCACTAGAATTCTCTAAATGAAGTATTTTTTATTTGAATGGAAAAAATAATACTGTACTCATTTATATAAAATAAATATTTTCATTACCTAGTGGTGCATTAAATACTCCTAAAATTCTAAATTTCTTGATGATTGTACTGGCAAGGCTTAATATTTCTACATCCAAACCATCTGCAAGTAGTTCATTTGTAAGAGAAATAGCATCAAGAAGTTGTCTTGCCCTCTTCAACCTGTCAAATTCTTGAATCCTTTCTTGCGCCTGTTTCTCATGTGACATTGTTGTATTACAATTATTAATCTTTGCTGCATATTGCAAGTCCTCAATGAAGCATCTAAGTAAATTAAATAATTAGTACTTCAATATATTTCTGATGTGAACAGTAAAGCTGCACAAATAAATATCTCAGGTTCATATTATACAGAATAAACAATTGTCATGTGATGAGTGTTCTACAAAGATTTTAATTTATATAAAAAATTATATCCTTGATAATCTCGTAACACTGTCATTTGAGGTTCCAGTACATTTCTAAAATAGGATTTCCATGATTTACATTCTTACCCATCAATTACGTAATTTTTAATTGCACATTACTGTGGTGATATCTGTAATTTGCTTCTTTGTAATGTGATAAACGGCAGACGATATTCATAATTATTCTGAAGAATAATTTATAATTTTGCACAAATTTTCGTAATAGTTTCTTGAGCTACAAGTATGGATAAAAACAGAGGATCTCTGATAAAAGTAAATCATTAGTGACGCACGACACAACGTACTAGAGTATCTGTTGACGAAGTCACTTTAAAGAATATGTGCGAATTTTTTTAGATGTGTATTTTCTCAATCAAGCTTTTAGCTCCGACTATCAATTCCAATACTTCCGTTTAAAAGAAGGCAGATTTTATACTTTTGATATATACATGACATATAGACTGATTCGTCGGTCACATCTATAGATATATAAGAAATAAGAATAGACCAGAATAGACCGTGGGGTGGGACGTGGGACCGAGCTGAAAAGTCGGTAGAGCGATAGAGAGAGACAGCTGTATACTGGTGGCTGTCTAATTTTCTCACTCTGTTCATAAAGTTTTTAACTGGCCTAATCAGACTTTTAAACAAATAAATAGAATCATTTCCTTGGTATTAAAATATTTCTTTCAAATAACTTGGAGTTCTTTTATTCGTATCAAAACTCGTACTGACTTACGTAGTACAGTTCGAAATTCGTCCATTTTTATATTACGCGTTTGTTACCAAAGTGTGATTAAGTTTCAATCAATTATTTTATCTTGTTTAATAATACAGTGCCAGATAATAAGAATAAATGGAGCAAAGAGATCCAAGGACGAACGTGGTCAAGTCCCACAGCGCATCTCCGAGGAAAATACCAAGCACAGCTTGGGACGTTGGTAAGGTTTTATTAAAAGATTGTATCTTGATTTATGCGAAAGACGATCGTCAGTTTAGTAAATGTTCGATATAGAATCCAGCGGAGGAGATGGAATCCCGCCAGCGCACCGAAGAACTCCTAACACTCCGCATTTGAGTCCGCATAAGTATCCAAAGACTCCGCAAAGCGGAGGTACGATCGTAAAGAACATGAATTTAGAAATGTTTGTTAATTAAATCGCCCTACATAAAATGTTTCCACATAGAATCTTCTAAAAGAGAAAGGTCATCTTCGCAACTCGAACATCAGAAGCGGAAAGGGCGCTCCCCTAGTAAAGGGAGCCCGGAGAAGATTCCGAAAAGATGTAACAGCGGCTATTTCGCCGATTCTATGATACGCCAATGGACCAAACATGTCGGGATACAATCGCCATTCTCTCAAACAGAGGTCCGTTTTATTTTAAATACAAATGTACGTATTTGTAATGTCGATTTTAATCCTCGACAACGAATTGATAGCAGGAAAATGTATTGGCCGAGGAGATGAAACAAATGTGCGCATTGAAAGATGTCAGAATCCAGAAATTAATGAAGAAGTTGGAGACTGCAGAGGAGACTATATCTTCGTTATCCGGTAGACTTCAAACCCAGCAGGAGGCCTCGACGGAAATATTAAAAGAGTAATATATTTCTTATGCATCGTCTAACCAGAAACATTATTAACTTGTTTTTTCTCTAGATTAAATAATGACGGGGAATTGATTTCAAATTATTGTCGGGAATTGGCAGAGGGATTAAAAGGATTTCAGGAGCACAAAGATAATCTGTCAGAGATGTATAATGTTATTCTAGTTAATCAAAGAGATTATGTAGAGAAATTGCAAAATGAATTGAGCGCCGTGAAAGTAAATGGTAAACGAATTCTATTTAGTACGAATGTATTTTCTATTCCTTGTCATTTTGAAATGTAAATTTTTATATAGACGAGGAATGCAAGAAGAATATCAATACGATGAGAAATCAAGTGATGAAGAAAGAAGAAAGGTACTTATCAAAATTATATCATTCATTTATTGAACAGGTATAATTACGAATATCTTTCATTTTTTGATCAGAATACGAGAACTGGAAATTGTCGAGATTGAATGGAAAAAGCAACTGCAGGACTTGGAGGAGAAGTCAATGTTAGAGAGGAATAAATTACTTATGGTCCACGCTGACGAAATATCACAATTGACGAAGGTTGTGAAATATCCTTTTCTGTTTGTCTCGGCTAAATATTTTTCTTGAAATATATATACATACGTAGAGAGACATTTACAATCTTGTTTCTCCTATGGGAAGAAAAACATTTTAGTTGCGTTATTTTAGCTGCGTTATCTGTACACGTTGTTATCATACGTGTAATAAACGTGTGAAATGTTGTGCGCGATTATCATTTCAGAGATCGGAATATCTCACGTCGACGAATCAAGAATTGCAAATCCAATTACAAAGGATTGTGGAAGAGAAAGAAGCGTTGGTTAAAGACCTGCAATTGATCGAGAATAAGTATAATCATGTGCATAGTAATTACGCAAATTTGGAGAACAAATTAAAGGCGGTACAAACTGATAATTTAAATCTCGAGAAATCTCTCAAGGATGTGCAGCACAACGATGAAAAGAAAATATTCGAGTTGAACAGAAAAATTAGAGTTTTAGAAATGGAGAAGGAACGAGTGTACTCGGAGAAGAGTTTGAACGCGAAGGTAAACTTTTTAAAAATGCTCCTACGACTGGTTTGCTTGAATTTGTTTCTTTTATATATAGGAGATCGAAAATTATTATAAGTCAAGAGAAGAGAAATATAAGGCGGAAATAGAAAAGCTAAAAGAAGATTATAACGTTCAAGCAACGGAAATGAAAAAGATCGAAGCGGAGTATTCTGCTCTGATAAAATCACGGGAAGATGAACATAAAGTTGAAATAGAAAAGTTAAAAGAAAATTACGACGTTCAATTAATGGAAATGAAGAAGAACGAAGCGGAGCATTCTGCTCTGATAAAATCACGGGAAGATGAACATAAAGTTGAAATAGAAAAGTTAAAAGAAAATTACGACGTTCAATTAATGGAAATGAAGAAGAACGAAGCGGAGCATTCTGCTCTGATAAAATCACGGGAAGATGAACATAAGGTTGAAATACAAAAGTTAAAACAAGATTACGACGTTCAATTAATGGAAATGAAAAAGATCGAAGTGGAGCATTCTGCTCTGATAAAATCACGGGAAGATGAACATAAGGTTGAAATAGAAAAGTTAAAACAAGATTACGACGTTCAATTAATGGAAATGAAGAAGATAGAAGCGCGAAATTCTGCTTTGCTAAAATCATGGGAAGATGAACATAAAGTTGAAATAGAAAAGTTAAAAGGAGATTACGACGTTCAATTAACGAAAATGAAGAAGATAGAAGCGTGGAATTCTGCTCTGATAAAATCACGGGAAGATGATCATAAGGCTGAAATAGAAAAATTAAAAAAGGATTACGACGCTAAATTGACGGAGATAAACGAGCAAAATAAAATTATCCAGGAAAAAGAATCTTTTGAAAAATTGCAGAAGTACTTACAGGAAAGAGAGGAAAAACAGAAACTAGAAGATGCGCGAATTCAACAAGCAACGCGAGAAATTGCAAATCTTGGAAAGTATTTAAAAGAACGTGATGAAAATCTATTTAGAAAAGAAAAGGAAGTACTTGAGAAGCTGCGGGAGGATGTAAAAGAAACAACAGACGATCGCAAATACGACGATAGGCAAGTGGACGAAGAATTTAAGAGTGTCGAAAACTGTCGAAAAGAAAAGAAAGCAGATCGAAGTGGACAGGAGGAAGAAGAGCTCAATAAACTGCCGATGAATGTAAATAAAAATGTACCTAGGACCAGAAAGAGCGCCAAAGTAATAAAAGTAGCAAGTGTATCAGAAATTGAATTTGATAATTTACTAAAAGATATAAAAGAAAAAGATCGAAATGAATTAACACAAGATAGTCCTATCAAAGCAAAAAGAGCAGTAAGGAAAAGAACAAAACCAGTTATGACGGAGACAGTTAAAGAGACGGGAAATCAAGTGCAAATAGATCAACTGCTCGAAGGCGTATCAAAAAATTCATTTTCAGGTAGAAGCGAAGAAATGAGTTTGCAGCAGATGATGAGAGAAGATGAGTACGATTTCATTTCTGAAGTTGAACGAACATACGTATGTATCAAACATATTTCTTCTATTATGTATGCTATAAGAATCTACTCTTGTGAATGATTTTTTTCAGTCAAAAAGTCAACGAGAAGCAGGAATATTGAAGGAAAATACGTTGAGTCACTTTGATGATAGAATTGAAAAAATAAAAGGAAAAAATGAGGTATCGCTAAAAACTTATTTCTCATGTATCCGACGTATCATTAAGAGTGCCAATATTATTCTTCACAAACAGAATAAGGATATCCCATCGCCAAAGAAAATATTTACAACCGGGCTAAGGCAATACTCAAAACCAAAATCGCAACCGCGAAAATGGGGAAAATTTTAAGCAGCAACATCGAAAGATACAAAAGCGATTGAGATATATACGACCTCTGAAATCTTCACGTTCATTTAAAATGTATCTTTTTCATTTATTTCTATCATTCGTTACTGACTCGTGGTCGAATTATGTATACATTTAAAAAATTACATATTTAATTTCTTAGAAAAGAAAAGAAAGTATAAAAAATTACATTTTTAATTTACATATTATATTTTGATAAAATTCACAATGTAACAATTATTCATAAAGAATAAATATCTTTAATATGAAATAACAAATAACGTTATATTTTTATTCGGCGTGAGAACCAGTGAGCACTTTTATTTCCTCCTTGGTCATTGGTCACACGGTTATACGTCACACATACTAATAATTGTCATGATAATCGTTACTTTTCCTATCCTAACCTGACTAACGTCATGCTGCTAAATGTAAACTAGTGCTGGGTAGTTCTTGGCGTGTTTGGTATAGTGAATGTTAGTTTATATTTGTGTAAATAAATGTTGAAAAAGATTCGACAAATTAATGTAAAAAGCAATGTAATATCTTTATCTTCCGTGGTTAAAATTAATGTTGAAGCCTTGAAGGTAAATTATTTCATTATTATTATGTTTATATTAGATACAATACTCTAGATACTCAACAACCAAATCATAGGTTGAATCAATAATTATTTTTCAGGTAAAATATTGTTAGAAATGGCAAATTTTCCTCCCAATATGGGCCAACCCTACTTTTGGGGTTCAGCAGTTTCTCAACCACAAAACATGAAATATTATCCTGTACCACAACAAAATTTGCCACCTCCAAATTTTCCACCCCCAAATTATAGACAACCTCCACCATCATATAACATGCCTGTCTCTAATTTATATGAAAACAGACCTGGAAACTTTGCTCCACCATATAATAATACAATGGGAACATACTATCAGAATGAGGTTCAAAATACTTATTATGATGCTCCCTATCAGGATCAAACAGATGTACAATATGACAACCAGAATTATGGATTATGTAATTACTCTCAATCAGTGACTGGAAATTACAATTCAACATGGGATGATGGACCTACATATCAGAATAATGGCAATACAGAATGGAGTACTAATACGTACACATCGGATTGGTATAAGTCACAAGAGAATAGAGCTTCTTGGTATGAAACAAATAAAACACAAGAAGACGATACAAAAGCGGGATATAAAAGATATAATGATCCACCGAGAAATCGAAGATTTGAATCAAGATCGAGAGACAGAGAACCCTCAATTAGTTCATCTCGTTCAAGTAACAGAAGGCGTTCTAGAAGCCGTGAAAGATCAAGAGAAAAAAGGTCGAGCAGATCTCCATATAGATCAAGACACGAATCGCAGAGAGATAGTTATTCGAAGCATTCTAGAAACAGATCAACGTCTAGAGAACGTTTACACGGCGAAACAGATTCTGAGAGAAGATCGTTGTACAGAAGAAGTTCACATACGGCACGTTCTCCAAGATCGTTTACAAATTGCAGAAACGCAAGAAGATCAAGATCTCTAGACCGTCCATCTTACAAATCTAGAACAGCTAGTCCGAACAGGAATTCCTCTAAAAAAGATCCAACTGAAAGAGAATTGCTTCTAGAAAAATATAGGCAAGGCTACTGCGCCACGAGTAAAGATATGGAGAGGAAAATGGATGAATTATCTGCAATGGGAACCGAAGGTATTATGGAGAATGCCAGGAAAGTTTGGACACGTACAGCACCAGCAGATTTGTACTATACTAGGGATGAGACTAATCCAAAAATAATGAACGGCACGCCTAAATTGCATGAATTATGCGATTTATTTAAAAATGTGCTGTTAGACAGAGCTAAGGCTGCAAGAAATTTGCAGACCCCTTACGAACCACCTCCGAGGAAAACCAGAGCTCGTTTGTGCAGGCATAAGTCCGAGGCGTGCAGCAGTTCTTCTTCCGATAGCGAGAGCTCGATGGACGAAGACGATAGGATGATGGAGGAATTAATGGCAAAGAAGCAACATCCGCACAGATTACATCCTGAAATGTGGTTTAACGATCCTGGAGAAATGAACGACGGGCCCTTGTGTAGATGTAGCGCGAAATCGAGGAGATCTGGTATCCGACATGGAATTTACGCCGGAGAAGGTACAATAAATAAGTGTGACTTAAATGCGAACAACGCCGATAAATTATATCATTATCGGATAACGATCAGTCCGCCAACGAACTTTCTTACTAAGACACCGACGATTATTAAGCATGACGAGCACGAATTTATATTCGAAGGATTCTCCATGCTCTCGCATTTTCCAATTGTAAAATTGCCGACTTGTAAGGTGATAAGGTTTAACATAGAGTATACCATTCTGTACATAGATGAAAAATTACCGGAAAATTTCACTATTCGAGAATTGGATTATTTTCGTAAGTTTTCTCTTTTATTGCTTTTAGAATCTTATTCGGTATAGTCCATATTTATAAATCATTCTTTACAGAAACCTACTTGTTTCAAGAAATACTGGAACTTGTTGATTTTGATTTAAAAGCAGCGCAGGATAGAGAGGGTTGCGGCCAATTCCATTTTATGCCAAGATTCGTGCGCGATTTGGCTGACAATGGGCAGGAAATATTATCCATGAACGAGGTTTTGAATTATTTAATAAAGAGTAGTAAATTGTTAATCGATCCGAATGATCTGTCTAGGGTAGTTGAAATGCCCCAATACGAATGGCAAAACATAGCCGACGAAGTGAAGGGTATGATCGTTACGTATCCTGCGAAAAAACCATGCAGCGTTCGCGTGGATCAATTGGATAGAAATCAAACGGATCACTCGCCCGGGGAAATTGCTTACCCCGAAATAGTACATTTTGGAATCCGGCCGCCGCAACTTAGCTACGCAGGAAATGCAGAGTAATTCTTTTACTATAATACAAAATTAAACTGAAAGACGTGAAAAGGTTGATATCTATGTTGATTTTTTTTATTTTAGTTACCAGAAAGCTTGGAGAGATTACGTAAAATTTCGACATTTGTTAGCTAACATGCCGAAACCTTCGTTCGAAGATAAGAGAAAGTTGGAAGCAAAAGAGAATAAGCTTCAAGAATTGAGAACGCAAAGTAAAATGAAACGCGACGTTACCGTGGACGTTAGTTCTGAAGGATTTTACAGAACCGGAATAATGTGCGACATAGTACAACACGCTATGTTGATACCAGTACTTGTTTGCCATCTGAGATTTCATAAATCTTTAGACAATTTAGAGCGTACATTAGGCTATGCATTTAAGAATAGGTATCTCCTTCAATTAGCGCTTACGCATCCTAGCTACCGCGAGAACTTTGGCACAAATCCAGATCACGCGCGAAACTCTTTGACCAATTGTGGAATAAGACAACCGGAGTACGGTGATCGTCGGATACATTATATGAATACTCGTAAGCGTGGTATTAATACATTAATAAACATAATGTCAAGATTTGGAGCGCGAACTGAGACTGAATCATCGATAGCGCACAACGAGAGATTAGAGTTTTTAGGAGATGCCGTCGTCGAGTTTCTTACATCGATTCATTTGTTTCATATGTTTCCTGATTTGGAAGAAGGTGGCTTGGCTACTTACAGAGCAGCTATCGTTCAAAATCAGCATCTCGCGGTGTTAGCGAAGAAATTGAATTTAGAAGAATACATGCTATACGCTCACGGAAGCGATCTTTGTCACGATTTGGAATTGAGGCACGCGATGGCCAATTGTTTTGAAGCATTGATGGGCTCGTTATTTCTCGACGGTGGCATAGAAGTAGCCGATAGAGTTTTTGGAGAGACGTTGTTTAAAGATGAGGAGGATCTTGCCAAGGTTTGGGTAAACTATCCAAAACATCCTTTGCAAGAGCAGGAACCAACGGGTGATCGACAATGGATACCAAGCTTCGAACTACTACAAGTAAGTTCATTTCGTAAATGCCATATCTTGAAGAAAGTAACACTTTCTTTTTTCTGTTTAGAAATTAACGGAGTTCGAAGAGTCTATTGGCATAGAATTCACGCACATTCGTCTTTTAGCCAGAGCATTTACTGATCGTAGTATAGGGTACACAAATCTCACGTTAGGTTCTAATCAACGTTTAGAATTTTTAGGAGATACCGTGTTACAACTTATAGTTTCCGAATATTTGTACAAATATTTCCCGGAACATCATGAAGGGCATTTATCCGTAAGTAATATGGCAAATTTCTCGACAAACACAAGATGATACACTCTTATATTTTTTAGCTGTTACGAAGTTCCCTTGTAAATAATAAAACTCAAGCCGTTGTATGCGATGATTTGGGGATGACTCAATACGCACTTTACGGTAACCCGAAGGCTGAGTTGAAAACGAAAGACAGAGCAGATTTACTCGAAGCATTTTTAGGAGCCCTTTACGTTGACAAGGGTTTAGAGTATTGTCAGGTCTTCTGCGACGTCTGTTTCTTCCCGCGCTTGCAGGACTTCATTATGAATCAAGACTGGAACGATCCTAAGAGTAAATTACAACAATGTTGTTTAACATTAAGAACAATGGATGGCGGAGAGCCTGATATTCCTGTGTATAAGTAAGACAAGGTTGTGATGAATTTCTTTAGATAATCACTATACATCAATACATTCTATTCTTCTTGTAGAGTCATCGAGTGTAAAGGACCAACGAATACGAGAGTTTACACTGTTGCTGTGTACTTTCAAGGAAAACGATTAGCGAAGGCATCGGGCCATAGCATTCAAGAAGCAGAAATGAATTCCGCAAAAGAGGCACTAGAAAAATCTCAAGGTATAAATTTAAATATATTCTTATCATTTTGATGATGGTCGTGCTTTCTCATAAAAGAATTTACTTTTGTCGCCGGGATATATAATAACGAAAACTGACCGCCGTCGGCACTTTGTTGTAAGCTTTGTTACAGACATGAATGTGAAGCTGATTACCGTTGGCTCATTAAATTCACATATACGAGAGTCTAAAGTTTCTATTACTCATATTTTTTGTTTACAGATTTATTCCCGCAGTTGGACCATCAGAAACGAGTGATAGCAAAGAGCATGAAGATGCAACAGTGGCCGAAGGCAAATAAACACAAGTCGAGAGGAAAATCGATAAAATCCAAAGACAGACGTGATGATTCAGATTGTACTCAACGGTGTAAAAGGAGTCGTAGCGAAGTATAACACTTGCAAATGAAGTTAGAACTCGTTTTGTACCAAATGTATAATAATAATACCATGTCTGAGATAATGATTAAAAATAAATGGTGTTATTAATGTTGTAATTGGTTTAATATATTTATTTAAGCGTGCTCAATGATAGGATCTTCGCTGTCGACAGGTTCTTTTAGTTCGGGAACATCTTGAAGCAATACATCTTCATTTTGTTCAATGACCTGTCTGCAAAATTGCACATTACTAACGATTTCTTCTAAAGTCCAATGCTTTTGCAACAACGCGTGCTTTATATTAAACAAACCATCCTGCACACAAAGTATTTGCGTGCAGGTAGCGCAACTACGAAGCTGCATCCCTAAATCGTGAATTATAGTTTTCAGATACATATCATACTCATTTGTGCATACAATCTCTGTAAAAATATAAACTGGAGATATTATATAGAATTCTTTATAGCTGTTTGCAGATTCTAATACTTCACTAATGTTTTACCTAGCGTAAATTCTGGAGGTGAAAAGTCTACACATTTAATCGTATATATCATAGGAATATTGGAATTTGCTGGTCTAATTGGACCTCTAAGTGCTAATTCGTATGCAGCTTGACTTTGAATGTCAACCCCACAAAGGCTGCAAACATATGACGATATGTATATATAACAAGTATTATATTACACTTGTTTCTATTCGTAATGTAGGTTTCAACAACGTACTCAAACATTTTCCTTTGATGGGAAGATTGCATTGAGCTGCATATTTTATCGAGATGACCACGTCTTACATGCTGAAATGCAGACTTCTCTACTATTTTTCCAGTATGAAAATAAGTATCTGTTGCTTGCCCTAACAATCCCTTTACTCTATAAAACCTTAAACATTTGGATTCCTTCAATTTGTGGATCATCCGATTACCCTTGTTAAGTCCGCAAACTAATATACCAGACACATCTGGACGCATGATTTTCGTAGCACCTAATCTGAAGTCATTTGGTTGATAACGAGGGCCTACAACTAACGGATGGTCAGCAAAACTATCGCGAACGACAAGTTTCATCTGTTTATTTACTTGACCCTCTATAGCTATGTATTTCATCGGTGGTCGTACTTTCAAATCATTTAAATCTGAAATAAATACATTTTATTCACGAAGCGATTCATCGTACACAAAAGTTATGTTCCAACCTCTGCATAAGTTTTGGATTACAGTATCTCTCATAGTATTGAAGTACATTAGTGGAGGCTTGTATATCAACAATACTCCGTTTAATGCCTTGTAAACCTGACTCGCGTCATTTACATATTTCGATATCTTCTCTACTAACATGTCGAAAATAATTTGTTTATTACTACTAGACGCAATGCTAGCACTCATACGTTCGTCCGTTCACGTTCACTGTTCATTCCCTCTAAAGTACCAATAGTTAGATGATCTATAAAATAAGGTCCAGGAAGTGGCGACATCTGAGTTGGATTTACATATTAAACGTTATGCCTAATTGAAAGACTGTTTTATTCATAAAGATAATAGAGTAGATAAACTGAGGTGAATCATACGTGTAAGAGGAAATGGTATATGTATAGCAGACGTTTTCATCTGTTCTCTAACGCTGCCCTGATCTTTTCTCTCTTTCTAATACGTTCCCACTTTCACGACTGTCTCCCCTACTCTATATCTATTATCTCTATCGTTTTATTACGAACAAAATCTTCGAAAAGTGAAAATAGCAATTTATTTATAGTGAATACAATTTTTTTTTTAGAATTACAAATTTTCTCTTAAATACTTGGAATTTTGTAGTGCCTCCGTGCCTCAGTAGCGCAGTAGGCAGCGCGTAAGTCTCATAATCTTAAGGTCGTGAGTTCGATCCTCACCTGGGGCAATTTATTTTTAATTCGCGAACATAATTATCTAATTTTAAGCTGACAACTCTTGCACGATCGTAGGTAACGCGCTCTGTCTCACTCTATCCCCTAGCACCCATGCTAGCACCATACCTCTCTCACTTCCCCCACCATCATTTTTCAGTGTTACAGTGTTACATGTGCTAGGTTAAGGCTGTGAAAGGCTTTAAAGTGCAGAACGTAATGAATAAAAGCTGTTTATCATTATTTTTTCTAATTTTCTTTATATCGATAAATAATATTCGCAAAAACACAGGAACACGGAATTTTTCAGAGAACCGTATTAGCGTTAAAAAGATAGAAACAATTGTAAGAAAGGCAGCATGGCGACAAACAACTGAAACTGAAGGGAACGAAAGAGAAAGAGTGGCGAGAGACAATTATGTAAATATAACGCTCGCCGGAAGGGACTCGAGGCATCTTGGAATTGAAATGTGGAAGTTAAAACGAGTTGTGAATTGTTTGCTGCCCTTTAGCGATACCACAATTTGCAAGCAAACAGCCCATTAAGCTGAAGCCGGGTATATAGCTTCTACCTTCCCACGGTGGATAGGTGTTGCGAGTTGCGACCCTTTCGTCGGAATAAATCCTCACCGAAAGCCAGCTACAACGCGTCGCTTCCATTATATTCAGCCAGCTTATTTTCACGAGTCGGCGAAACGGGCATCGCTGCATCACATTACTTTACACTTTACGCTTTACATACAAATCTTTCACATCGGTTCTTCCACAGATCATAAGATCACGAAGAACGACAAAACAATTAACAAAAAATAATCATACATTCGGTTTTTTATGGCAATGTATCATAAATGCAAACGTTCATCTGTAGAAGAACGTTAAAAAAACGAATGTGTGTAATGGGCAGATACGAGATATTTTAGTAATGGATTTTTTTAATATAAAGTTCTGGATATATGAATATGAGAAAGAAAAGACTTTAATCATTTGGAAATAAATGTATTGTTCAACTTCTGAGTCTCGAACGTTAACAAAGGGACAGATTACGGATTAAAAAAACGAGTTGCGAGAGGAACTAGGCAGATCGTACGAAGCCCGGTACGTGAATCTTAGGTCTACTCGCACTTATCGTATTTTCAGGGTGATTATACGTCGGTGGATATCGACGAGCCGTGGCAGAAAATGAGAGAAAAGGTAAAAGAGGCTGCGGGTCCGAGGGAGGTGGGGGATGCTTCCGCGGTTTACTTTATGCAGACGCTGGGGCTACGATATGCATCTGCATCCGTTACGTATAAATGCGGAGATACGCGGCCCGGTTCGCAGGTGCGCAGCGGCGGCAAGCTCGTTGCAAGCGCGGTTGATTCCGCGTTGATTCAGTCCGTATTCAGTGCATCGAGTCCCGCGATGAAAAGGCGTTCCGCTTTCTGAATATATTCCAATTAAAAAGTCGGAGCTTCGTTACACTCGGCCCTGCCCCCGTGGAGCCCCGTCTACTCTCTCATCTCTCTCTCTCCCTCTCTCTTCACCTTTTATCCACTTCTTCTCCTCTCACCCTTCTTCCTGCTTCGCGATGCTATCCTCCTTCACCCACCGTCCGCAACCGATTCCTTTTACTTCTGTTTTTGCCTTCCATCAACGGATCGCGATCCCTTTTCGCTACCGTGCAGTCAGCGATCCTGCCTCTCCTCTTCTACCCCCGCACGTTTCTCGGTTTCTCCAGCAATTACGCTGCCGCTTTTTTTCTGAGGTATTAAAAATGTCCAGGCCCAACCTTGCGCTTCGGTTTCTTTCCACGCCTAGCCCTTCATCGTAATATGTTTTCGTTCTAAACGAGATTGCACTTTTTCGAAAAAACCGTGCCCTTTCTCGAGTCTATTTTGAAAACCAAGATTGATTCCCGTAATCGTAAAATTCTCGTAAACTGTTGGGTTCTCCCCGTAAGAGATTTATCCGCTCGACTGTTTAATCGTAATCAGGGATTGTGGAAAGTCGGCATCGAGAGGATCAATTATCAATGAAAAAAGGAAGAATGGAACGACGTGAAAACGATGCTATTCGAGAAGAGAATCCTGTGGTGTAGGTTTTGTGAAAGGGTCGGGCGAATTCGAAGACGCATGGGAAGAGGCCAAGAGGCCCCCCGTGAAGTATTTAACGACGCCGCGCCGTGCTTTCGGAGGGTAACAGAGAGGAGCGCATCGTAAACTGAAGAGGGATAAGAAGCGCGTGTCCAAGTGCCAACATGACTTACGCACGTATGCACACGCGTATTCGCTCAACGACAATACGCACGTGGCCGAGTGCACGCTCCCGTCACACAGGATATTTTCTCGTTTCGAGACCCTTCCTCTGTCTCTGGCTCCTTTACCTTCGCCCTATCCAACCGAGGGATCCTCGATTCGATTCAAGGTTCAAGCCAACCATCGACGAGTCAAATTATAGCCGTTTACACGATTGAAACGCACTCGAATTGCCCCGGTATATCAATACGACGCGGTTACTTCTTTGTTCTCGTTTAGACCAATTATTTTACGATTCCGCCGATAAGCTAATTGCTTCGATTATATAACGTTTCAATAGTTCCTAATAGCGCAAGATTATTTACACCAAGTAAAGTTATTGAGAAGAATTAAGGAAATACGAGGAAAAATGTAGAACGGGATACGTAAAATGAAAAAAATCGCGAAGTCGAAAGGCGACGTTAAGAAGACGAGGAACAATGAGCGCGACAGAAAATTATTTCGAACAACATGCGATTCATTATGACGAAGTAATTATGCGTGACGCGGCCGCGGAGGCACGGAAAGAAGCAGAAAATGATACAAAACGGGGATAGAATCGAGGGGCAGAGAATTCTTCCTTCACTCGCGTGGTTTCACGCTCGGCAAAATGTATCCACGGTCTTTTTTTTCCATTATCCGTCGAGGGTCTCGTACTCTGTTTCATCCTGAATGAATCCGAAAGGAGCGTCCCTCATGCATTCCGTACGTATCTCCACGGGTCGGACGTGGCTCTATACACGCGAGCAACAATTTATTCTTGTAAAAGTCTTGGCGAGTCCTTTCAACTTTCCACGCACCTTTTCCTCCCATTACGAACACCTCAACTTTCGTGGAACAAGCGCCGCGGCTTCAAGGGCTCGTTGAACGTTTTCGAAAACGTGCTTTAAGCCATTTTCCCGACTGCGATCTTAATCAAATGGTACTTTTATAAAATCAAAGAGAATATCGGAAACGGTTTCGAAGAGTATCGAATTTCAGAATTCGATTCCCGACGAGAGTGGAGAGAGCGAGGCAAAGAAAAGTGATTAACGACGTCGTTACGCGAGATCGTACGCGAGTCTCGATTAATGTAGTCTAATCATCCGTGTAAAGAGATCGTACACTTTTCCATTCCGATCTTCCTACGCCGCCGGTGGTCCTCCACGATATTCACTCTCTTCTCCTTCAATTAACGGACGAGTCTGCGATCGGCTCGCGAAAAATGATCGCGCGACAATCGGTTCTCGATCTCCCATCTGCCGCGTTGTCTCTTCCCATCTCCTCCCGTCCCGCGGTCCGTCTCTCTTTCTCGTTTCGATTCCGTTCAATTAAATCCGGCAGCCAATTCCAGCCACGAGTGGCAACGGCACTCGACTTGTATCGGTTTCAGCCAATTACTTTCAGCTAGGGCTCGCGAGTTTGCTGTTTCTGGCCACGTGCCCATTGTCACGCGCGGGTTGGTAGTTCGCGATACGGGCTCGTTACAGATACCGATTGATCCAATAAAAAAAACGTTACATTCTATCACGATCAAAATACAATTTCCCATCGAGGCGACGCGACGCGACGCGACGCTTGTTCTTTCCGATCGTCGACATTCAACGTGGAGACGTAGCGACGAAGAAGAACTTGGTTGAAAGAAGGAACAATTAGAAGACGATTTGTTTGATAATAATTTATTTATCTACAAGAATCCTTTGGTTGACGAGAGGTCGCCGACTAATTGGAGAAAGTGATCGATTATCAGCGGTGAGCGTTGGTGAACTAAATCCCTAAACGAATGTCGACCAGCGAACGCTGGCTGAGAACATTGCACGCGTCGTTGTCGTTTCCATTTCCATTCATTTGCCTGTTGCGATTATCTACGTGTCTCTAGAACGGCTCTCTACGAATTCGACTCGGCTATAGACTTCGACTAAACTCTGAGGCTGAAGTAGAGATTCGCGAAACACTCGTGACTCTTTCTCCTCTCCACGCGGTGAACGAAAACGAACCGACTACGACTACCGGCCAACTTGTTAATTACATATGTACACTGTTTCGCATGCATGGATAGACACGTGAAACAACTCCAAAATGGAATGCGAAATTGTCGGGCCTCGGTATCCTGGATACGTACGGGGAACGTTATCGGCGCGGCGCGAGCACAAACATCGCGATCGAGTCTCTCATCGTTCCTTGGTTCGCGCACTTCACTGATTAGGTAGGGCGTTAGCATTCGCACCAAACCGGAGTGTAGCCACTCGGCGAGGAGTCGAGCGCAAACGTCCAGCGACTGCTTCGTACAGTAATTTCCAACCGAGTATTCTTGCACCAAATCGAGTCGCGATAACGCGTAAAGATTTAAGTGTTTTCGACAGGATTTCCCGAGGAGGATGTTCTGCACTGAACCAGGACGAAGCCTCGGTGATTGCAATCGTGAACAATAATTTCCGCCGAGGTTTTTCTGTACCATACCAGAGGACGAACCCGGCAATCTTGACGATTCATCGAGAGGATCCGTCAACTGAGTACAGCGATTTCCAACGGAGAATTGGAATCGATACGTCGAGATAGATTGATAAGCTGTGAAGCGGAAACGATGCTGGAACCGCCGCGTTGCGCCGGGTTAGAGCGGGCATCCATGGACGTAGGTGACATTCCTAAAGAGGGCTGCCGCCGTCGAGAGGAATGCGGCCGTCGAGGCTGTCGACGGGGCCGGAGGTGGTGGCGGCGGAGGCGGATGCGTTTGCGTTTGGGCCTGACCGCTGTACGGTGGACAATAAGCGTCTATGCTCCCGTGGTGAAGACCGACGCCTCGCACCAGCAATTCCTTTTCCACCGTCGCTTGGTGCCGGAGTTGCTCCAGTCGCAGCTGGTTCTGCCGCTTCCATTTCGTTCTAGAACATCAAGCGTTGCGAACGCTTTCAAACATCGGTAGATGCGACTGTAAATACTTATATTCTTCGATTAATTAATGTGCAGGAGGAAAACATTGTGAACTGTGCTGACACACTTGCGCTTGAGTTACAACGGGCAAAAGCTAGTTGTACTAAAGATTACATGAAGGAAAATGCTGACCTTCTGTTCTGATACCATGTTTTGACTTGGGTTTCCGATAAGGACAGAGCGTCGGCCACGTCGCTTCGATCCGCGACGCTCAGATACTTCTGACAACGAAATTTCCGTTCCAGGTAAGCGAGCTGAGCGTGAGTGAATGCGGTGCGTCTTCTCCTGGGCTTCCGTCCGCTCGGAGGACCGCTGGTCGTGCCGCAGGACTTGCCTGAAGTCGCGGGAGCGGGCGGGGGTGACAGAGCTGGCGGTGGACTCTCTAACCGAGCACAGGGACTGCTTCCTGGGTCGATCGTGTCCTCGGAGTCCGAATGAACGGCAGAGTCGTCTTCGGAATCTTCTGTAATCCAGTTTTATTTCCTCCGTATACATATTGGAAATCTTATTCCTGTCCTCATAAGCAGATATCCAATCCGAAACCAATTATCGAGATCGTAGAATTAATGTGATACTACAATTGTTAAAGCCTCTTCGCTAATCATTGCCCTCGTTTTTCTTTCTACTGACTGAGTATATTCATCTGTATCGCGAGCTGCTTTGTAACAAATTTGGTTTGATCGGTTCTGGTTAGTGGTAAACGATCTCAATCATTGAAACGGCTCAGTGCCTGGCTCTGATTGGCCAATAAACTCGGTTGAGCACGACTTCGACGGGTGGCAACGATCGTCCGATTAACGAGAGCTAACGAATCCTTCCGCAGGTTTCGCACCATCTGTAGGATCGTCGTTTAATGGGGCACCGCGCCCTGTCGGGGCACCGAAACAACCCCGGGGCTACGAATCTCGGATAAAAATAATGGAACCGCTCCACGGGGTACCGCGTAACGAGGATCCCGGCGATAGGCCACGCGGCTACTACATGCAATCGAAATCTCCTGTTTCTTGATTACTCGAAATTAAATAAGTGCGAATAACGACAATGATTGGAACGACTCAGCAATAACGATCAATTTATTATTTGCAAACGTTGTTGCAGGAAATACAACATAATATTTAATCGCGAATAACATAAAAAGATAAGCAATTATAAAGAGAAGTGTGTTGGAATAAATAATTTTTGTTATCAACACACTACACGGAAGGTTCGATTCAATGATGATGATGCAACAAATATTAAATTAAAGAGTATTATCTATGATTACGAAGAGGGAACGAAATACTCACCGTGAACACGCTCGGACAGAACATCCCCCAGGAGGTCCCTTATCAGAAACGACTTGTGCTCCTGCATCATCGCACTCTCCTCGGAATGCGAAACGGTATGAACGAACGGCGAGATCGGCGATTAGACGGGTAGGTAGTCGCGAACCAACTGACCGGAAGCTTCGTATCGTCGCGACGATAACAGGGACACCTCAGAAACGACGGAGGACGAGTCAACGAGTTTCATGCTAACGCGGGGACGCTCAGCGTCGTTCTGGGTATCAACGGGGGATGACCGGATGTGCATGTCCAAGCCTGAAGCTCTGGATCGTCGTCGCCGCTTCTCGACGTTCGACGTCGAGCGCGCACGTTGCTCGGGTGTCGGGGGTGGGAGACAAAGGGACGGAAGAGGAGCAGGGTATCTCGCGTGGTAACGCGAGTTAAGCAAAGGGGTTGGCGCCGAGCGAGAACCCGCGCCACCCCGCTTCAATTAATCCGCCCGTTTATTTTCAACGGGCTGCCTAATGCTCGCGCGATTTTGCAGCCATTTTGGGGGTGGTGGTGCTGCGCGACCCTGCTTCGCCCTCGTCGAGACGCGACGATTGGTCGGGTCGGCTCGACGTCTAGGAGTGAGAACGACGATGGCTCGACGTCGATTGGTCCGTGGAAAGCGGCCGCCTCGAAGGGGGTTGGCTCTGCCCGCAACCCTTAAAGAACCGATGCGAGAACGCGGGTGGCGCACCGCGAGATTTCGGTACACGGTTCGCGAGCGCGGGAGCACGACCTGGCGAGCATCGAGCTACGAGAAATCTGGTCGGGTGGGGAGGAAATGATTGGCGAGCGATTACCGCGAAACGAGAGGAACAAATTGGATGTGAAACGTTTCTCTCGTCGGCATAGAGGACGCGAGATATCGAGATTGTTCCGCGGCGCGTACCACCGCGGGTGCAGGGTTGGCTCGCGACGTTCCGGTATTTCTCCCGCGTTCTCTTTTCTGGCGCTGGCTTTTCCGCGCCGCGTGTCATCGACGAGCAAAAAGTTCGCCCGAGAAAGAACGGATTTTCTGTTTCCGTTCAAACGAAAGACACGATTTTTTTCGTTCACTATTTCCCTGTTTTGTCATTCCCCTTTTCTCTCGCTGCTGCTCCTCTATTTCTCCCCAAGAACGCGTAGAATCGGGAAGCGCAGACTAGATTCTAACGAAGTCAATTTGATTCGGGCCGAGGGAAAAGTGGCGCAAGGTGCAACGCGAATATGCACCCGCGGCAGGGAGCAGGCATTTGCATAAATACGGTCCTCGCAATTTGCGGCACACTCCTTGTCGGGTTCATTCCGTCATCTTCCGCGGCTAGTATGTGAGCGTAAATATGCATGATGCATGAAACCACCAATCCTCGACACCGCCTATATCCCCCTTTTCATTCCCTTTTCTCCCGGTACAGCGCACGCCGTTCCCGCTGCTTTTCCAGCATCCCCGTTACGACCGTTAGTCTATTCACCGTGTCGCTACTTATCTTCCGGGCGCATTCGCATCCGCTCCGCTTTTCTATACCAAAGTATTTCATCTTTCGCGAAATCATCCACGCCGCCCGGTTCCTGTCGATCTAGAATTAAAAAAAAAGGGAAAAAGAAAAAACGGGACGAGCACGATGAACCGCGTCTATGCCAAACCCGGCTCTCTCTTTTAAATCGCAAACAGTTCGCCGACCTTCCATCTCTTTTCGCGTTGCTTAATTAACGAATTCCCTGCTACGCGAATCGCTCTCTTCGATTTTTCCGCGTTTTTGCGAGTATTCGTCTGTATATGCACGAAATAAATAAATAAATTGCACGCGAATACCAATAAACATATGTACGTCTACCTTTAAGTCGAAATAAATCTTTTTGCAGGATAATTATTACACTATGAATGTTTAATTGTACGATGAACCTGGCAACCTGCCTTTTCCGCGTTAAGGGTTTCCATTGTGAACCCTTGAATTTTCGGCAATCTGGCGTCGCGTGGCGTCGCATAAAATGCGAGAGGATCGTGTCAACGGCTGGATAGAGGAAGGGTAGAGAAGGGGCGGGTTACATTTTAATGGCTCGGTTCGTGGCCTCGAGTTTGCGTGATGGCACCTGTAAGCGAAACCCCTACGGACGCGGGAGATCGTCCGGGCACGGCGACAACGACGGGGCGCGTTTGTGAATTCATTAAGATTTAACGTATGCAGGGGATTAATTCAAGGGGCAGCAAAGCGGCTGGCCGCCTTCTTCTCTTCTCTTCGTGTTCGCTGGAAAAGGGCCTCGGCAAACGGCGGAATAAATGCATGAAGACCGGATAAATTGAGTACCCGCCCGAGCTGCGAAAACAAAGACTTCTGCTCGTCGCGGCCTAACGACTTTCGCCCCGATCGATGCCACTTATGTCGAAAGATTTTTGGCACGCCACGCGTGAATCCGAATAACGATTCGCGATACGTGCCGTTCCCTAATTTCATCACGCAATTTTTATGCTCGAGATGCTCTTCTTTTATTCAGGAAAATGCAGAGAGTAAAACATTCACCTACAAAATGCAAATACTTTTATCGTAATACGATTATTGAGAGACTACAGAGATTTTTGATAGAATCAGATTTTTTGTTTCGAACGGATCAACTATAACGTCTAGCTTAATAGACGAGAGCGCGTGGCACAGTTGACCGCATCTGTCACGATTTAGACGTAAAGGTGAATGAATGGAAATTAGACCGGAGGGTTGTAACGCGAATTACTTCGGAATCATCGCCCCCTCGTCGACTAGATTGTTATCGCTAATTTGCGAGATTTGTTCGCCTGTGGGACACGAAATTTCGACCAAATGACGGCCACCTTTGGCCGCGTTCGACAAATAGCCCAAATAGGATCTCGCACAGGGGATGAATATCTTTCCGATCTCGCAGGGGGTTGCACAGCGGATTATTGATACAGAAATAGGTCTCGCCTACTCTTTCCTGCTGCGTGCATTTAGATCCAAATCATCTAAATGAAGGATGATTGCTATGGAAATATGAAAAATTGTTACCGGATATTAAGTTAAAGGTTCGATTCAAACTAACAAAGTTTCTGAATTAAATGTAAGGATATAAAAATAAATATAAATACTGAAATATTAAATCGATCGTTCATTTACTCTGTTTTAAATTACATTAAGAGTAAGAAGTGGCAAAAAATGTGGAACGCTTCACGATTTTGCGTGTCATCCTTGCGCAGGGGCCATGCTAATCTTCTCTGTATCGTTCCAATTTTAGTATATGTACTGCCGAAGCAAGTACGATAGGTATTCTCATAAATTCGTATTTATAGTTATATCCTGAATCAGCGAGTACCAACGAGAAAAATTTTTTGGTTCACGCCATCTAGTGGCCAGCGGTTAATCGTCTGTCTATACTACTTGCTGTTCAACGCGCAGTAGTATAAGTCAATGATTCTCACTGCAGTATCGTAAGTAGATCGTCTTCTAAACTTAGAATTTTAGTGTTGTTTCAAGTAGTAATAATCTTGTGTTCTTTCATGATTTAATTAACGTAGGATACAAGTTATGAATTAAAACTTATGTCAATTTGAAGGTGGAACTCGCTTTTTGACTCTAGAGACGTCGCGTCATTTATTTTTTACGCGATCTCATTGTCAGATGTTTCGGTGAGGTATCTTGTGATTATTCGAGGAAAACCTTTATCGAATCGAAATTCGAGCGTCGATGCTTAAAAAAGTCGTCGATTTGTAAATAACGGGTAGGAAAACAGTGGAGAGGATATCACGGTGGAGCGATTTAGAACAGAGCGAGTCATCTGAAGGGAGGGGAAGCCGAATACAGAGAGAGAGAGAGAGAGAGGGTGAGTGAGAGAGGTGCGGGGTGATGGATCAAAACCGCGATGCCGCGAGGGGCTTCGAAATCGTTAACAATCGCGGCAAAAGCAAAATCCATTGAGGTGCGACCACGCGTGTGAATATAACTGTCGATCGTGAATATTCCGCGCGGAGCAGCAGCACAGCCGCCGCGCCGCATTGACGGCGGAAAAGAACGAGAGGGGAGAGAGCAAGACCAGGCAGCAGCTCGTTCTCCATTGAGGATAAAAAAAGGTGCGATCGAAAGGAACGCGACTGTTTACCACGGCGACTAACAATTTCGCTCGATACGTTCGTCTCTCTTTTGTGCCTCGAATCATCCTCGGCTTCTTTATTTTTGCTCGGTCGATTCGACGAACGAAATAAAGACGAGTGATTCGCGTGCACTGTTTTCCTCTCGAGGGAAGGAAACGTAACGCGAATAAAAGAGCCAAGATGAAAGAAGGGGCGTTCTCACAATCAGTTAAACAGAGCAAAAGAGCCCCGGTGGTCTCACCGCCGTACACGTTCTCGTTTCTCCTCGAATGTACCGGTATTCATTTATACTTTACATTTTTCCTTTCAGTTACTTCTTATCGTTTCTATACGTCTTCCGTTAGCAACTCCTAAGACACCGAGCTCCGTTATTCATAAGACACAACGGGAACATTTATCGAGCTCCTCTCTAGATTAAACGCGAACGCGATTAAAAAAATGTTTTATCACTGCTCCAACATTTTCTACCCCTTTAAACCAATGTACATATAATCAGATTCGCACCCGGTAGATTCGGGTATTCTTTAACGAGTACCGGTTCGCCGAGTCGAAACAATCGCGAAGTTCGATGGAAAATTTGGCAGGACTCCGTGGCCGAGTATGTATATGTACGTATAAAGTCTATTGTGTTTCTTGTTTCGCGCAGGGCAGGAGACACTCTCGAAGAATGATGAGGTTATGGGAAAAAGAGTGCTTGAACACGGACGTTGGTCAGGCTCCCGTGGTTCCAATTACGATTGAAAGGCGGCCCTGTTTGTTCGGTTCCTACTATAACTGCGGCCTCCTCGCTCTTCAGTGCCTCGACCTACGAGCCACTACTCTTCTCTTACCCCATGGCCACTTTTCAAGTTCCGACGCGCGTGTGTTTCCATGGCAAACGCCCCGCGCCGATTCCGTCGAGCACAAAAATCACTTCCTTCTTCTCTCCCCCGGACGATTATCTCTTCACCATAAATTATATCCTTTACAAATTCATAGGTCATCGCCGGCACTTCTTTGATACGTTTCGAAGCAATCTTCGTTTAATGAATACAAAGTGTATTCACGTCGTTAATGATTATAATGCACAGATTCATAGTGGCACGTTTTAGAGATTAGATTTCGTTGTTGCTGGGCGGTTAGCTGTTAGATTCTGGGGATGGAGATAGCTGTTTTTACGCGATTTATCACGGCCGATCCCCCGCGTTTCGTCAAAGACGAAAATGATCGTCCGATAGAATCGCGACCCTGTTTTCGAGGTAAGTGCCGTATAATC